ATTATTATCATCATATCCAAAAGAAAATACTCTTTATTTATTATAGCATCTATTATAATTCTACTATGTTATTCATCCATAACTATATTTATTTCTCCTTTTCAACTTATATGATTCAATTCCTATTATCATACAATTATTTAACATCTAAATGAATATAAATTCCATTCCATCTTGGTTCAATCACAAACACAATTACAAGCATAAATACAACTTAAACTCACTTTTAAGCTCAATAATTTCTCAAAGGCATTCAATTTCTAAAACATCAAAATTTCTTTTTTCACATGCATAATTATGACACAATACTAAAACAAATACATCAAAAGCCATTTTTATCTTTCAAAAGCCATTTTTATCTTTCAATAGTGACCCCTAAGCTTCATTATCCATCTAAATTTATTTATTATTTCAACATGATTTCACTTTTACAACAACCTACAAGGATCCAATAGACCTAATTTCTAGAATGCCTATTTTCCCCCTAATTTTAATACCTGTTTGTTTTTTGGAAAGTGATTTTTTTTTAAAGTGAATTTCAAGAAAGTCAATTCCGAAAAAGTGAATTATTTTCTGATGTTTGATAGTATAATGAAAAATAAGTTGAAAAATAATTTTTAGTGTTTAGTTATATCATGAAAAATGAGCTAGAAAATAACTTATTAATGTTTTATTTTTCTCAAGTTTATTAAAATAATGAAGGATAAATCTTACAAATTAAAAATTTGAATGATAATGAAATTGAAAAAATTATAATTTCATAAATTATCTCAAATAAAATAAATATATCAAATATAAAATATAAAAAAAATGAAAGATAAAGAAATTAAAATAATAATATTAAAATTTCATAAATTATTTCAAATAAAATAAGTAACAATCAAAAGAATGAGAATCAAATTTGATAGATAAAAAAATTCAATAAAAAAATGATAAGAGTAAAGAAAATAACAATTATAAAAATTAAATTTTAAGAGGTGATATTTAATAATAAATATTCAAAATAATATATACATATATATATATAGCAATTAAAAGTTTGAGGACTAAATTTGATATAATTAGCAAATAATATGATATTTCTAATTTTTTTACAACTTCTAGAAAGTGTTTCTTTAACTGTAAAGTGTTTTCTGTTGACTAACTTTTCTAATAGCAAACAAATACATGAAAGTTTGGAAAGTAGTTTCCTGAAAACCACTTTTCAGGAAATAAACATGGCCTTGGTTACTTTTGTCCAAAATAACAAAACTCTTTTCTGAGTTGATAAAAAGAGTTCCAAGCATTTTTAACTAGGTACAAAATATAATTCAAATGTTAAGTTGCCAAGATTTTCCCAAAACTTCTTTCTTTTTCACCTCTTTCCTAACTCCTTTCTAATTTAATCTTCCCTCTATTTGATTTTTTTTTTTCTCTTGATTTTTGGTGTTAAAGTGTTTTTCTATTGTCCTTTAAGTTCTTAAAAAGTTTTAATTGCCAAAAATTAACACAAGTTTCAATTTTTTTTATTCATTTTTCTTTTATATGTTTGCAATTGTTCTCTCATTATTATTCTTAAATCACCATATATCTTACAGTATCTCACAAAAATAAAACTTATATGTCACTCCTAGGTGTTTGTTAGCATTGATTTGTCTTTCTGCGATTTCTCAAAATTTAAAACTAATGAATATGGTCACTTTGAATTTAAGACTCTGTGATGTAAAATGTTGTTACCTATTTTTGGGTTCCCACATAAAAAATAAAAAAACAAAAACAAAAATAAAAAAATAATATTCAGAAGGAATCCAAAAAATAATATGAATGAAAGAAGAACGTTGGAATGCCCACAAAATGGCTAGAAATTGGTTGTGAAAGTTCAAAAATAAGCTAGAAATTGGTTGAGAAGGTTCAAAAATGAAAGAATTGAAATTTAATAGTATATTTTTGATTGATAAGAGTCTTGTTGACAAATAAAATTTAAGTTGAAGAAGAAAAGTTTAAAATCAGATGCTTATGGACTAAATTATATTTTATATAAGGTTTAATTGAATTTATAAAAGGTTTGATTGCAAGAAAAAATTATTTTTAAGTCAATTTAGGCTTTTATTGGAAGAAATTAAAGTTGAGGGGTCTAATTATAATTTTAAAGAGTTGATTTGGTCAAATCAGGGGCTTAATTGCATAATTATTAAAGTTTGATGGCTAAATGAGGACTTAATTGACACAATTCAAAACCAAGGACCAAAACAGAAAATACACTAAAACCAAGGAATCCAATTATAATTTTTATGGGGGCTTGATTACAAAATTGAAAAAGCTTCCAATGACCAAATTAGAAATATCATTTAAAGTTGCAAAACGGTGTCATTTCACTTTCACTAAACTCTGTTCACTGTCTTCTTCAAAAGATGTTGCGTGCAGCTGGTCAAGAGACGTTGCAGCAGCAAAGGCGTTGATTTGCTTTAATCAAGGGGGCATATCTCACGGATGATATCTCTCGCCATCATGATACACACCGGCCGTTACTCTGTCCTTATAACAACAAATGAAAACACCTGCATCCTCTGGCTATAAAAGCTAGAGGATGTACTGAAGAGAAAGAAAACATGGGAAGAAAGATGAGACAAAGGAGGAAAGACAAAGGTAAACAAAGGAGAAAAAAGGAGAGAACAGTGGAGGATTAGAGAAGGGAGATAAGGAGAGAGTGCCAAAGAAAGTTTTGGAAAGGAAAGGGGAATGGAGCATAACAGATGAAAAGAAAGAAAAAAATGATAGAGACAAGGCAGAAGAGAAACAAATGGGAAAAATTATTGAAAGAATAAGAGAAGGGAAATTGATAGACATAATAGAGAAAAGGAAACAGGGGATGATGATTTGAGAGAAAATAGAGAAGAGAGGATAAACTTGAGAGAAACAGAAAGAGGAATAGAGGGGGGAGAACAGAAGAGAGAGAAGTGAGAAACTAAAAAAAAAAGAGAAAGAAGCAAACGAATTAAAATAGGAGAGAACGAAGAAATGAAGAAGAAAGATAGAGGAACAAAATAGCACAAAACCAAGGAGGAATAAAAACAAAGACAGAAAAAAACAAAAGAAAGAAAGAAAGAACAAAGGTAGAACGTCCTTTATACCACAACAGCTACCCCCCGTCCACGACAACAACACCAACACCTGTAACCAATGTTCGACCAGTCACCAGCATCATTGTCAACTTATCAATCCGAGCTCATCATCCTGGGTAATTTTTCATCATATCTTCATTTATTCTTCTTGCATGAATAACATAAACTATAGACGTTCTGCTAGCAATAAAATAATTACACTATATATATACATAATAACTGACTAATTAATTAACTAGTTATTGTGCTCATGCACAGTAACTAGTCCAGCCCATTCTTCTTGCATGAATAACATAAACTATAGATGTTCTGCAAGCAATAAAATAATTATCCAGTTACTATATATATACATAATAACTGACTAATTAATTAACTAGTTATTGTGCTCATGCACAGTAACTAGTCCATAGTTGCTTCGGGCTAAGTCCACCCCACAAGGCTGAGCTAAGTCCAGCCCTGTAGAAAGTGGACCTGATTTCATTTTGATATGATTTTAGTCCAGATAAAAAAATAACAAATATATTGGAAAATTTATTATTTTTTTGCATATTTGTCTACAGAATTTTGCTTAATAATAGTGTGTATTTTTATACTGTAAAGATATAAATCTGATATTAAGATGTTTGTTTTTGTCAAAATATTGAAAAAATGAAAAAATATGTTTTTACGTATACGGCTAGGTCTCTCAAAAATAAAATAAAATAATTATATTGTATTTTTATACAATAAAAAATTTTAAAATATATATTAGCATGCATTTTGACTTTAATAACTAATTTATTAAAGTCACGAGAACTAGGCTAATATTTCAAAAATTTCTAAAAAAAATATTTTCTTTTCTTTTAGTATCTGGGATTATGACTTTATATTTAAGATGTATTATGAATATTAAATTTTTTTATTAATGTTAGAATGGTTAGGTTTTACCTAATAAAATAAAGATCTCTTTACCAAAAATGATTTTTCTTATTAAATCATAAATAGATTAACAACTAAAAAACACAACAAGATCTTAGATTTTATCACAATAAAACAATATAGTTTCCTTTATATATGATATATTTGTGGTAATAATATATTTATTTTATACAGTCAGTTTCGTACTCAATCTCTAAAACTAGTTAGGATTTTTAATAACTAAAATTTAAATGGTAAATTTCATTTTATTTTTTTATTAATAAAAAATAAAAATTTTTGTCTATTTATTTTTACTATATAAATACTAGATAAATAGATAAAATAAAATATAGGAATGAATGTTTTTCTCCGCAAAGGCGCATGCCGCGCACATGTTATATAAAATATATAAAACTGTCGTGTCACATGAATCATGTAGCACGACAATTATTTTCTGGACAGTTTCAATTATATAAAACTCCAGCCCTTCTTGTTGCACGTGGATGCCAGTCTATACATAAACAATTGCTGGGCTCCTGCCTACATACTGATCAAATATCAAACAAAATGGCATGGCCATGGTGGGTGTCCCACAAGAGGCAGTGACAATAAATGGGAAAAAGACTAGACAACGAGCCTGTTTGTTTCCGTGTTTGAAAAAGACCGGACAATGAGCATGTTGTTTCTGTATTTTAAAAATATTTTTAAAAATATTTAATTTTTATTTTATTTTTTTATTAACTTTAAATTAATATATTTTTAATATTTTTAAATTATTTTGATGTGTTGATATCAAAAATAATTTTTAAAAATTAAAAAAATATTATTAACATATTTTAACACTAAAAACTATTTAAAAAGTAACAACCATTCCAAACCGTAATGTTAATAATTTAATTGCCACCCAGATGAAACGGGCAATCATTTCTTTTCCACCCGGTAAGTGGTTAGCTTTTCAAGCCAGTCCCGGTAAATGGTTTGCTTTTCAAGCCAGTCCCTTTTTCTACATCTAACAAGACATAGCAGGATGAGCTGAGCCAAATCTTAGTAAAGCATATTTCAATGCAATAGAAAGAATTGTTGCTTTAAGGCCTATGGCGGCAGCTCCAGAGTTATCATATGAAACATTTTACCTAACCCTTTTGAGCCATTCTGACCCTTCTTACCCAATCTCCAAAGCCATTTACAATCCTGACAATCCTTCATACTCGTCCATTTTGCAAGCTTACATTCGAAATCTCCGATTTAACACATCAACAACACCAAAACCACTCTTTATCCTGACTGCATTGCATGAGTCTCATGTGCAAGCTGCTGTTTTTTGGGCCAAAAAACATGGATTGCAAATGAAAATCAGAAGCGGAGGCCATGATTATGAAGGCAAATCTTATGTTTCGGATGTCCCTTTCTTCATTCTCGATATGTGCAATCTTCGATCGATTGATGTTGATATCGAAAACGAGACGGCTTGGGTTCAAGCTGGGGCAACTCTTGGTGAAGTTTTCTACAGCATTGCCGAAAAAAGCAGCACTCACGGCTGCCCAGCTGGAGTCTGTCCTACTGTTGGTGTTGGTGGGCATTTAATTGGAGCTGGATATGGCAATTTGATGAGGAAATATGGTCTAAGTGTCGATAACATTACCGATGCAATATTGGTTGATGCTGAAGGCAGAATTCTTCACAGAAAATCAATGGGAGAAGACCTTTTTTGGGCTATTAGAGGCGGTGGAGCTAGCTTCGGAGTCGTGGTTTCATATAAAATAAACCTTGTTCGAGTTACAGAAGTTGTCACTGTATTTCGAGTTGAAAGAACACTTAAAGAGAATGCAACTGATATTATGTATCAGTGGCAACATGTTGCCCATAAGATTCATGAAGACCTCTTCATCAGGCTCCTCCTGGATGTTGTAAAAGATAGTCCAAGTGGAGAAAAGACGGTGAGGGCTTCATTTATAGGTTTCTTTCTCGGCGACTCTGAGAGGCTTCTGTCCATTACAGCAGAAAGCTTCCCTGAATTGGGTTTGCTTAAATCAGATTGCATAGAAACGAGTTGGCTTGAATCAATCCTGTTTTGGGCAGACTTTCCCGTTGGGACACCGATCGATGTTATGCTTAGTCGAACACCTCCATCACTCGTCTACTTGAAGAGGAAGTCAGATTATGTGCAAGAACCAATTTCAAAGGATGATTTGGAGGCCATTTGGAAGAAAATGATGGAGCTAGAAGTTCCAAAAATGGGGTTCAATCCTTATGGTGGTAAAATGAGTGAGATTTCAGCAGCAGCAACTCCCTTTCCACACAGAGCTGGGAACTTGTGGAAGATTCAGTATCAAATAAACTGGAATGAAGAAGGGACTGAAGCAGAAGAATACCATCTTGATTTGGCAAGGCAGCTCTATCGTTACATGACTCCCTTTGTATCCAAGAATCCAAGGGCTGCATTTCTGAACTACAAGGACCTTGATTTGGGCATCAACCACCATGGAAAGACGAGTTACATTGAAGGAAGGGCTTATGGGATCAAGTACTTTAAGGGTAACTTCGAAAGATTGGTCCAAATCAAGACTAGGGTTGATCCTGGTAATTTCTTCAGGCATGAACAAAGTGTTCCAACGTTTCCCTTAATAGAAAGGATGTAGAATGGGAAATTCATTTTTAATAAAATCAAGACTAGGGCTGATCCTGCAAATTCATTCTGTTTATTGGCATTTTTAATAATAATATAAAAAAAGACCGTTGATTTTTATCTCACAAGAATTCGTAGTGGAAATAATTTGCAGAAAAATCGTTTAGATGAAGAGCAAAGTCAATGCCTTGTATTATTTTATTTATTTATTTATTTTATTTTTTATTAATATAAATATTCATGATTCTGAAATTATTAATTATATAAATTTTTAATGGTCATAGAATTTATGAGATTGAAACTAATAACTTCTAAAACATAAATCTAAATCTTATCACTAAAGCTACACCTCTCAAAATTTTCATATTATCAAATCATATACTTGTAGGCATTTATATTCCAATATATAAAATCATAGTACACAAAGACAAAAACCATAGAGAAAAACAAATATAGTGATATAATGTATGAAGCCTCATATTTATGATAAGTTATCAAGATATTATAAAATCCTACAAAATTCATACGAGTGTTAATTGTTTTTCTAATAAATAAATTAATATATCATGCCATTTATAAACACAATATATGATATATGATGTGTAATGTCTTCTGAATATATTTAATAACTAGACATACAAGACTAAGTTTACCAAAAAAAAACCCACAAAAAACCCATACTTGTCTAACATATAACTTATTAGAAACAACCATAAATTTTTATATAATTATTAGATAGAGCTTAAATTTTATTAAATAAATCTACAAATTAGGAATAGCTCATTTTAATTAGACAAAGTTTAGAAGACTCTAAAATTAGACTTAGAAAAAAAAATTTGCCATCTATTTTAATTTTTTTCAACTTAATTTCAGATTTTAATTACTTTTCTTACGGGATTAAATTATTGGTATGTTATTTTTATCATTTGAATTGGAAACTTTTCAGAAGATATAGAGTTTTTTTTTTTTAATTTCATTACAGCTTTGGGCTCTAACCTTAAGACTTAAAAACTCCAATTTTAATTTACGCTATATGCCACTTCAATTTAAGAAAAATAACTATATAAATATAGGTTGCATAACTTATTAGATAGAAATCACTATATAAAATATGTGTTTCATATTTATTAGCTTAATCCACATATAATATGATATATTTAATCTATGTAAAATTTCTTTTAAAAAAACAGTTATATTTCAACATAGGACTCCTATTTTTCTCATTAAGAAAAAGGTGTTTTTTACCAAATCATTATACTGGAAAAACATTGTTTCCTAAATTAACATTAGGTGTAAATAAGGTCACCCTGGAGCTCAAGGATGATTTGCTATTATTTTTTTTTCCCAATTGTCAAAGATATATACACACACACACAAAGATAATTTATTTTTTTGTTTATATTTATGTGCTTGTTTGAAATTATAATAATAATAATGATTTTAAGTGTTTTATTTTATTTTTTATGTTTTAAAAATTAATATATCAAAACTTATATTAAATATATATAAAAAGTATCCTTTCCTTCTTTATTTTTTTATTTTCTCTCTCCTGCTTTGGTTGTTGTGCCAACATATTCTTCTTCTTTCTTCTGTCATTTGGTCCCTTAATTTTTATGCATGGTAAATTTTATTTTCATTATTATAATTATTTTATCTATTAAATATATTTTTATCTCAGTTTGGCAAAAATTAACTATTTTTTTTAGTATTCATATTCAAAAATAAATATTAAATTTATTTAAAAAATTACAGAAAAATGATCATAATAATAAAATTAAATAAAAAATTCTAGACACAAAATGAAGAAATGAGGTAGTTAAAAAGAATGAAAAATTATTTTTAATTAAACAATATATGGACCGAAAAGGAAGGACCACTAGTGGGACTCCAAAGCAACAGAGACATGGACTGATGAGGGGCAAAAAAGTAATCAAGATACTATAATGTGAGATAAGTTATCAAGATATTATAAAATAATACAAAGTTCACATTCATTGATATGAGAACATTCTACTAGTAATTGTCTTTCTAATAAATAAATTTAATAACACATTTATAAACTACATCTATTTCATGTAACGAATTTTGGGCTATAATTACTTACCAAAAAAAAAATTTGGGCTATAATTTTAGAATTCTTTTTGACCTGCAAGTGTGTGTAACTAGCATATGTGCATTTGATTAGTTTTAGGTTGTGTGTGTGACTCTCTAGAAGCTATAAGGTAGCTTTTTATTTTTCTTTTCTTTGAATTCATTCTTTCATTTTTTTTGGTTTTCTCTCTCTTATTTTTGTTATTGTGTCATCCATTTCTTCTTTTTTCTTCTCTCATTTGGTCCCTCAATATTTATATTTAATTAATTTTAGTTTTATTATTATTATTTTTCTATCAAATAGAATTTTTTTATTTAAATTGGACAAAAAATAACTCTTTTCAATTTTCAGCATTCTCATTTGAAAATAAATATTAACATCAATTTTTTTCTTGTGAAAACAACAAATGAAATGATTGTTTGTTGTAATGGTTATTTTCCAAAGCAATTTTTATTTTAAAATAATATTTTTTAAATATTTAAAATTTATTTATAATATTAATTGATAAAATAATCTAAAATTATAATATATATATATAAAGCAGGTGCACCAATAGCTACAAAGAGAAGAGGGAACATTGATGTGACTCCACTTTAACGTGACGGTCAGGTTCTGTCCTTGGATTCCTATTGGCAATAATTTCTCAACAGATAAGATGGAGAGTTGATCACTACATGCTTATATCATATCCATTGATCACAAAGTCATTTTCACAAGTTTAAATTTGGAAAATTGAATACTTATAATTTGATATATTTAATCTGTGTAATAATTTCTTAAAAAAAAAACATTTGTATTTCAATATTACAGTGCAAAAAATTATTTTTTTTCCAAATTAACATAGGTGGGTAAAAATGAATTTCAAACTTAAAAAAAAAACTCACAAAATAAGCCTTCACTTTCAATTAAACATGATAGTGATATTTCACTCAAAAAAATCAAATTTATGATATGACATGTGCTTATCATCCTACCACATAAATACAATCCATATGTTATTTTTATCATCAGATTATTGAATTATAAATTTTTCAAAAAATATTTTCTCCCTGTTTTTCTATAGTTTTGGGCTATACCTTGATATCTAATCATCAATTTCAAAATAAAAAAAGTATATAAATATAGATTGCATAACTTATTAGATAGAAATCATTATGGTTTATATGTGTTTCTTATTTATTATCTTAATCTACATATGATATGATATATTTAATCTCTCTGATAATTTATTTAAAAAAAATGTTATATTTCAACATAGGAGCCCGATTTTTCTCCGCCAGCAGAAGTCTTTTCTTTCCATTCGACAAAGCTGTGATATTTCACATTAAATATTACATTAACCAAAACATTATATGGCATGTGTTTTTTATTGTAATTATAGGCATAATTTATTATAAATTGTTATAATATCATTATTTTTTCCCTTGAGTGGGAAAAAAAAAAACCTTACTGGGGATGCTTTTGATATTTTTCTCTGGACTATTGTTCATTAAAAGATTAATCAAGTGAATTTAGATTTTTTATTTATTTTTTATATAATAAAAATATTTTTTTACCTTTCAAGTTAATAAAATTTAAAGTCATTCGTCAAATTTTTTTGTGATGTTTTATAAACCTTTAAACATTAAAAATATTTTTTCTCTCCCAAGATCAAAAAATTATCTAGTCTTGAAAAAGATAAAAAATAAAATTTGTATTTGGGATATTTTTATACTTTCACACCGGTTTTATGAGTAATTATTAGGATAAGAAAGTGTTTTAGTATTTTTACATTGACTTTTTAATATTTTTAATTAAAAAAATTATTAAACACACACTAATAAGTAGATTATATCAACACCATTCAGACGATGAGTGTTATGCAACTGGATAGTCAAACCTAAACTTTCACGGTCTCTTTGGATGTGCCACTAGATCCTCTTAGATATGGTGTGACGCGTGACTGTATATAATTTTAGGATTGTTGTCAAAAATCATTTATTTTTCTTGTTTCTTTTTTATCTCATGTCAAATAAAATGCACAATTATTCTTT